TAAGTCCATTGTACTTTTTTATCTTAAGATGGATGAATAAAGCTATTATTATCAAGTAGCCCGAACGCAATGACATAACGCTACACTATTCTCTGTGCCAAACCTTGGGTATTTGGTGACTATACATGTATATATAGTTAGTCTGGTTATAATTTTGCGTTAACTTTTGCGACATTTCAAACTCATTCACGTTTTGTTTTAATCCATATCATGCATGGGTTTCAAGATGGAAATCTTGTTCTATTTCATGTATTTATGTAAAACCTTATTATTTTTGGTAAGTTTAATCGGATGCACGCAGGGGCCATCATGTTTTCTAGCACTGAAAATGACAATGTATATACGTAATTTGTTTACATTTCATATATATTTCTGTTCTGCAGATTGGCTGTAATAAGTGCATTTACATATTTGATATTGTCAATCTTGGTCGACGAGCGTTTGACTGTGGCTTAGCAGATATCATGGATTCAGCAGATATATTAAAGGTAAAAATGTTTTTGTAAAGAAAAATCAAAATGACCAATTAAGGTAATTCCGCATTTTTGCATTGCGCACTTTTACTGCGCAAATCTTATAACTTATAATTTCATCCATTATACGTACCGTTTTAAACAAAATATCATTTTATGACAATTTTATGTTACTTCAAAACATCTTTGGTTACATTCGTGGCAAAGAATTACGTTAAAATCAATGTTTTCAAAAAAGGCATACAAAAGTGTAGCTAGGGTTCCCTGTGTCTGTAGTATATTTATTTACTTGTATTTCACGTTTTAATGCCACAATTCCCTAAAAAGGTCGGTGACCCCCTTTTTTTAACTGATAATTTATTTCTTTAATGCATTTTACATTTCATATCCTAAATTAAAAGAAAAATCATTTCTGGATCTTGAAAAAAATGCTTTATCAATGCATGTTCTCCAAGAAAGATATGTAAAGAAAGTATTTTTTCAAAAATAATTACAAGATAGGTTTACTAAAGCAAAATCCGCGCTAAAAACGTCAATAAATATCGGGCTGTTGTGAGTTTGCTGTTACTCGTAATGAGCGTCAAGATGGCGCCATATTGGGGGTAAAGGTGGTATATTGTGATTGTCATATCTTCTTAACGAGTTCGGTGACCCCGACTTTTTTGTGTGATTTTACTTTAAGTATATCATAAACTTCATGCCTGGGAAGTTTCAGCACATTCTCATTTCGGGAACAATTACTGCGGAATTACCTTAAGATACTTTGCCAAACTATCTTAGACTGCTTCGTTCTTGAGATACAGTATTTAACATATTTTTTTATATCTTCGGATATCGTGCGTCGAAGTCATAAGCCGTGTACAGTATATGTCAGCATACTACAAATATATGCTATGTTATACCATGGATTGTAAAATAACTGGATAGGAAACTTCATGACGTCATTGACCTCATCTTTGTTGAAAAACGTGACGTCACGCGTATTGCGAATATTACCAAAGTTCTCGGCATTTTTGTTGTTTTGCTATATTATCCACTTTAAAAGGGTGATATTGAAGCATAAACTGGTCTAATTGTTTTAAAAACATGCCTAAGCCACGACAAAGTATTCAAGGTAAATGCTTTTCGTCTTTGTTTTGTATTTTTTTACATTTGTAGCTACGAAAATGGCGTCACAAATTTTAACGAAATTTGCGATGTATTTTTCACTGTTTAGTGCTTGAAATATTTGCTAAAATTGACTAGGAATACTTAAAGTTTTCATCGTAGAATGGCGTGGTTATATTTATTTGCTCTTTGACTAAAATGTTTAGCTGTATTATTGCTAAACATGCCGTTTTTGAAAATTTGGTTTGCAACTAGGTTTGAACATCCAACCACGCCATCAGCCCATTGAAAACATTAGATCACGTCAGCTAGTTTCCTATCCATCTATTTTATTATACATGGTTATACATGCCGACAATTTGCATATCAAACGTTGTTAAATATCTCTAAAAAGAAACAAACTAAGATAGTTGGGCAAAGTATCTTACCATGCAATCATTTTGAATTTTCTTTACAATGCAATAAAAAAACAAATGGTGTGAAATTTCGCTGCACTTTAAAAGCCCAGGCGAACGTACAGTAGAAATTCTTGTTTCTTGTTTTTATACGCGCAAGTAAAGGTTTTATCTTTCTTGCCCGATTAGGAAAGTTGCCTTGCCACAAAAAGCTATGCATATTTAAGTTTATGTTTTCATTGTTGGATAATTGTTTTATAGTGCATGTACTTGATTCAAATTTCGTTTTTTGTGAGCCAAAGCTAGATCTGAGGCAGTGTAACATAGCCATATATAGGGCCGTAACTACTAACTAGACGCGATAATTGGGGGGGGTGCATATTCATATATTCATGTACACATACCGTAGAAACAATCGCTTTCAAAAGAAATTGGTAGGGCCATGAATATGCACCCATCCCCGCCCCCCGCCCCCCCCCCCACCAAGTGGTCAAAAAAGTAAAGTTATACCACTGCGTTTATTCCTCTTTTTCCAATTATTGGCCTGTTTCAGTTAATGAAGAGGTTCAGATTTGATCTCCGCTACCGCTACTATTAAGTGACCATTAACCAATCAGATGCGTTTGACATATCCTATTAACCAATCAAATGCGTTTTATATATCCTATTAACCAATCAGATGCGTACTAGCCAGCGAGAGGTAGTGGAAGTCAAATCTGAACCTCTCTAATGTTACTGGGCAGCAGATGGTGGTAAACGTATCTTATACTGTACTTTTAAGAGCAAACAAATTGAACTATGCCTCTCAGTTTCATTCATTTGCCAAAATTAAAAGACACTCAATATATAATGAAAGGAACTGTCATATTATTACGGTGAGAAAAGGTCCAAACAATTTGAAAAAAAAATCGCTAAGCCTGCACCTGACTAGCTATTAGCCTACTGTAACTATTCACCACACTTGAAACTAAATATTCTAAATATTGTTAGGTGGTTCACAATTGCCGCCATTTTAGTGATGCATTATACCATCAACATGGTGTTAGTCTTGTGAATGTTTTTGATATCCAGGTAAGAACTGTTGATTTACTGGATACAGTGACGTAGCGCTCATTGGGTAGGGTTAGTTCAAAAACTAAGGGCCCCCGACAGTTAGGGGCCCCATCACCCACAGCCTGTCGCCCAGAAAATTAGAAAATATAAAAAATGCAGGTTAAGAATCAATGGGAAAATGCAATAATGTAAATGCTAAATAATAAAGCCTCCATCGACAACGGTAGCTGATTTTTTAATTCCATCTCAAATAAAACAAATGTTATTCTTATTAGCTGTTACATGTGTTGGAGACTGTTATTGTTATAGACATGGAATTTTCCAGAACAATTTATAAATATTCAATATAAATATAATATCTCAGTCAAACAATGACAACAGGGGCCCCCACACCAAGTATGCCTAAGGACCCCCTGTTCCTCCGTTACGCCACTGACTGGATATCCAGAATTTGTTTTTCAACATGGCTGAGTATGCCAGATTCATGTACTAAAATTTGCTTGTAATTTCATATCGTAAATTGTAGCGCTTACTATTTAATTTGATCATTTTTAGGTAGCAGATGCCATTATTTACAGAAATGAAGATACTGATAAAAAGCTTCCAAGGTAAAATTTTAGTGACAGAGGGCGGATCTACCTGTAAGGGGCATACCCTTCCTTATCCACTATAAATTATTTCAAAAAAAATATCCTGTGATTCCGATTTCGTATCCTGAAAAAGTATGGTAGTTCTGGGTCGGAATTCACAATATTTTTTTTATTTTTAAATTTGTTCGTTTGACATTGGCCAGCAATGGCCATGAATGTGACCAGTTAGCAATTGCCACAACACCTAAACATTTCAAGAAGCAATGACTGTGGGCCAACGGACACCATTCTTGGTACTACGTTGTATCATAAGGCCGTTTTCTATTTCAAGCGTAACGTACCGACACGTATCAAAACAAATTTTAAATTTCAAAATTTAGTGAATGTTGATTGGTTAATACTTGCGTATAGTACGCTAAAAAGTCGACTTGCGACGAACTTTTTATTTTGATACGCGAATCAACCGGAAGTACGTAAATTTGAAAACCCATCTTCAAGCTGCACATGCTCACCGGTACGTTACTGTACGATACGGGCGAAGTGGAAAACGCCCTATAGTCGGTAGATAGGTACATGTATAGATAAGTAAAGTCCGCATCCCAAAATACATTGGCAGGTCTCCCAATAGAATTTGCAGTAGGAGGCTTTTTGTAAGAAGTACAATTGGCTATGTGGATTGTGGTGCCGAGAAGCGTGTGACACTCAGTTACGCCTCGTGTTTTATACGCTTCTCTCGTATTCTCCCAACATTCCCATCGTGCACTATCACACCATAAGCGTGTACGCGACTCGCTTTCTATTTCTCAATTATGATTGATGTAGTATACTTTAGTATGTTTGTATTTTGAAGAGGGAGAGAGCCTCCCATGTGACTTCGAGTCCCGTTCGCACTCTTCCCACTTGGATATCATCCAACAAATTTACTCATATCACACTTCATTTTAGGCAAACAAGCAGCCTCATATCATGTTTTTACGAATATCTCGATCTTTCTCCTGATGAATACCATTTTCACAAAGTCCGTCTCAAGCACACTAAGGTAGGCTTGGATTTAAGCCTTTTTGTGCACCCACTGTACATGAAACTTTGGAACTATACGTTTAATCATAGAAATACAGTAACAAATTTGGAAGCAAAATGAAATACATTTTGCTAGATATTGTTTAGATTCTAATGGACAAATTATTACAAGTTCCAGTGTTTATTTTTTGTTCTAGTAATCTTCAATTAATGTTTCTTGAAGAAAGGACTTACCTTCAAATACCGAATAGAGGTGTGCATCGGATCGGATTGGACGTTTATAATCCGACAATTGGCCAGTGAACTCTATTTAGACCCGGACGATAACTTGGCCGCCATCTTTGAAGCCAATATGAAGCCGAATTGACGTACAGTGCCAGTCCCTTTATATTGTTTTTGTAGGCCTGGCACTGTACGTCAATTCGAAACGGACTGGCACTGTACGTCAATTCGAAACGGACTGGCACTGTACGTCAATTCGGCTTCATATTGGCTTCAAAGATGGCGGCCAAATTACAGCCAGTTATCGTTCCAGTCTAAATATAGTTCACTGCAATTGGCTAATGTTTAAAATCCAATCCGATCCGAAATTGTCTAATCCGAATCCGATCCGAGTTTGATAAAGAATTCCGATCCGAAGAATCCTTTAAAAAAAATACATTTCTCATTCAAGTAGAAATATTTAACCAAATAAATATAAAAGCAAGAAATACATGTCAAGAAGCTGACAAAGTGACGTCGAATTATCAAACGAATAATGCAGCGACAACCGCGTTGTCGTGGATAATTAATTTATTTTATTTCGAATATCGAAGTCCGATCCGACTACGAAACAACTTTATCAATCCGATCCAATCCGAAATGAATATTTTTGTTCCGAAATCCGAACGAATCGGATTTGGATGTGCACACCTAGAATACCGAAGCTATTACATCTTGGAGCCACATACATGACCTAATAGTATGATAATAGTAATCAAGTGCAGATTACTAACATCATTACCGCATCATTTCAACACTACTTTTGCAAAGAACTTTCCAGGTTATGAATACGGAATCCCCCAAAGTATTGGGAGGTCAGCCTCCCCAAACCGGCATGAAATTTTTAACAAGGCGCTGAGCCCCACCCCCCTTCTACACCACTGGTCCCCAGCACTTTGACCACAAAAATTTTGGCTCGGGGTTCCACTGTGCATAGTGTACAGCACATGTACGAATGAAACTTGTCTACCTCTCTTCACTGTAACGCAGGCAGCGCTCATTCTAACTCTATTATATGACATATCGCAAAAGAGGCGAAAAACTAAAGAATGTAAAGGAACTTTTCGATGAAAAGTTCCATCCCAACACAAGTTATGCTCAAATTATATACTTGCAGAAGGAAAAATATATCTTTCCAAGGGTAAATCAAACCTTCGTTAACTATGACCCAGGCCTTAGCCGACCTTACAGATTGTATGTCAATCGTAATGATAGCGGTGTGTGGTTTTCTATTGCATAGAATGATGAGATGGTGTGGAAGAATCGTCCAATACACAAAGATTTGATCGACGCTGCTGCAAAGGTTTGTCGAACTTCTTTTTTTTACAACTAATATAGAGTGGTAACACAATTGCTAGTAAATATACTGACAATGTGTTTGTACATCATATAGAGCGTTATGTATCTTCGAGAACTACGCTTGGCTCAGATGGAGCGTATGATGGAAGAATTTATACACGGAGTGGACATCTATCTGTCGTGTGTAAGAGATGCTTCTGATGAAGTTGTGAAAAAGAAGGTAAGGACTGCGCACTGTACAGTGTGCCACATATCATTGCTACGGTGGGAGTTCTGACTGAGGGTATGAAGGATATGTTGCTTTTTTCGGTTGAATAAACCTAGCACACTGTTCATCATTACCAAACTTTACGAACTGTTGAAAAGTAATGATTGGTTAACAAGGAAGTGTAGTTCAGAAACTAATTACTGTAATTAGCCTTTCTCACGATGACGAACATCCGCCATTTTTGGGTGGCATGTAATTCTCGTTAACCAATGCAGACAATTAAAACAATGTGAAAAGCAATTTTTCAAAATAAACTAACCATTTACAAAGCAAATTTACCATCATTCGTCCAAAAAATTATAAAAAGTCGCTGTTATGTGGACTTATCTCGCAGACTTCAGCTGAAATTCCACCCAAAAATGGCGGCGTGAGAAAGGCTAATTGAACACAACTGTTATTTTTACTCTTCCTGAGCCTAAACGAACTCTGTTCTTGTTTTAATAACTTTGATGGGTCCTTACTGTCGTTCCAATTGAAGTGTTGCTCAAATATTGATTCAATACATTACCTCGGGCTGACCAATTCATTTCATCAAGTTCCTCGAGATATTCATACACTTCTAGTATAATTGTAAACTTCCTGTTGAATAGTTTGAATGCACCAATCACCTTTGTTGTTTGTGCAACTAACCAATCATAAATAGAAAGGAAGTGACCAGAAATGATCAAATACTTGGAATTGGCTCTTTCACAGGAAGTGTATGAATATCTCGAGGAACTTGATGAAATGAATTGGTCAGCCCGAGGTAATGTATTGAATCAATTTTTTAGCAAACTTCAATTGGAACGACAGTAAAATAACACCATTGTCCCAGTATTCTCACGCCTTTTAGTCACAAATTGGCTTGGCTTTTTTAGCATTTATGCCAAGGTTATTGATTAGTAAATGATTGATTGATAGTGTTTGATTGATTGGTGTATCATATTGGATTTTTAACATTATTGTCATTGGAATATTTGTTGCTTTCTTGCTTGTACTGTATACTGTTCGATTGAATTTATTTATTATCATGTCAATGCATTCGATTAATTAACCGTTTTTTCTACAACAGTATTCATCAACTGCTTTGCCCGAGATGTTCTATGCACTTCCATCTCGTAAGCGACCACGACACAGACAACGCGATTATGAGTTAGATAACAATGAGAACGAGGAACAACGTCAAGCGTGGGAAGAAGGACATAACTTCATGGTTGAATACGAACAACGTGGTATGCGTGTTCGTGAACATAAATATCCACCCTTTCCCGCGATACCAGAACGGAGTTCACCAATTCCTGTACATAACGAGCAGAGTACGGACGAAGGTCTGTCTAACGATCTAACAAAAGCAGTTGATAAACTAGATATCTTTGAGCAAGTCCCGAAAAAACAAGCAGAACAAAGAAATTCTACGCAAAACATGCACAGGTTTTCATCTGGCCGTGGGAGTCTCTGGCCTGGCAATTCAGGAATATTTTCTCAGGATGATTTTCCACAATTAAGCTCAGATTCGGATAGTAGTGGCCAGTCTCCGCGTGCTTCATCAGGCATGCAAAAGGTGTGGTCATCACATGATCCAAGATTTGGGCGTGGACGTGCAGCGTCACTCATTCGGAATGCACAATTACCAGGTGTACGTCGACCAAATGAAGAACCTTATGAACCATCATCGCATGGTGGTACATCTCAACAGGGCGTATCATCGTATAGTGGTATTAATCGGAATCGCACTTATAAAATTGGTATAGGTCAACATGATCGATTACAATTTCCTCCTGACGAGGAACTCCTAAATTCTTCAGAAATAGTTTCAGTACCTGGATTGAACGCGGTACCAAGTGGACCACGTGTTCGCATTAGCCATCAGTAATCAGGGAAACAGAAGGTGGTTGCCCAAATTTTATTTTATAAATTATAACTAATTGTGTTTAGGAAAACTGTTGGAATTCAAAAGTTTAAATTTAATATACAAAGTTTAATTAGATGTGAAGTGATGTGATGCTTAGCGTGTTAAATATAGGCATCCCAATGCACATGCTGTAATCCTGGTAATCACCTGTGCACAAACTGCAGTTAGTTGGAGAAGTTTTACGGCAGCATTGGAGATTCAAACACACATGCAGCACTTCGTCGCAGTTGATGGACTGCAAAAGATGGAATTAAGGATTTTGGATCGTTGTAAGACGATCTAGTGCCCCAAGAGCCTGTAAGCGTAATACTTGATGTAAAAGAGAAGCCCCAATGGGGAGTGAGCTGAATAATAATGTAATGTAATGTAATGTAATGTAAGGTTTAAGTTTTTGAAGGACAACCTTAATTGAATTAGCTGTATAACTTGACAGTACTTTTCATTGAAAACTGCCCGAAGTAGAGATATTGCCGTACTTAAACGTATTCCTGAACCCAGCGTGCCCAACATTGAGTTGCTATAGTGGACCTGTATTTGTATCGAAATCATGCATGCTTATCAGGATCCTGGTTAGGAACGATGAAAAGGTCACTTATTCACTTGTGCTTGTAATATGCTCATTCTGCAGAATAGCATGTACGCTTGTTTATAATAGTTGTTTAGTTGAGTTAAATTTGAACAAAATACTCGTACTTGTAAAACAATTCGCATTTGTTTTCAATTTTCTTACCGAGGATTAGTGAGGAATATATTAGAGTAGTTCCTAGTGGAGGTGTGTAAGACTGCATGCTCACTGTACAGTCCAATATATTAGGCCTTTCAACACTGATAGTCCGTTTTCGTTTGAAAACAAATACTTTTGTATGCGTTTTCGCTGATCTTTCACACTAATGCAACAGAAAACGCATGCCTTCATCCATGAAAACGGAGCTTTCACAGGAATTGAAATTGAGAACTGTTTCCAAGCAATTTAACTCTCATTTGAATTTCAACTTCCTCTCAGGAACATTACCAAGGTTTTCACCTTTATGAAAATAAGTGAAAAAGAAAGCCTTCTTAAATAATTGACAAACTGTCATGTTGTTTTACAGTGCGTCATCGTCAAGTGTTCCAATCAATGCCAAAATTTGTGTAACTATATTGGCTATGAGTAATCAAGTACAAAAACGTTCGAGTGCAGCCTTTGACCTGTGAAAAATTTATCGTGCACAACAAAACCCGTGTTCCCTTGGACATTTTCCGTATACGTTCCCTTGTCCTCCACAAAGATTCCACCTTGCCACATGTTTCCCAGTATTTTGTTTGGCTCTGTTCCCATTCCAAAATATGCCTTGTTCCCTGGAAACTCGTGGGAGACCTTCAAGATGAAATGCTTTCTATTTCAGGTTGTAATACACGCTTCCGCCTACGCGTCACCCAGTTTGGGCGTCACCTTGGGTATAGAGCCTAGTTTTCTTCATTCAGGCGTTGGGCTTTGACTCAAGTGACGTACTTTGCGGAAGTGTGTGTGCACCTGGGTTTTTCTCTCTAATATTTTTCTCTATAAACACGTCAGGCATAAAAAAACATAAACTCGCGAGAAATATCCTGCAAAAATTGTTCGTCCCCAAATAATTGGCTTTATAGCAGTGGTTTCATCATAGTTAATAGAATATTTGGAAACTCGTTAGAATAACAATACAACTCATCTATGTTAGTCCGTGTCACCGTGTGTATTGTATTTTTGCCAAACCACCAATAGCAATTTACCCTATTGTTCGAGTCACGGATAGGTAACTTTCTTAACATTGCTATTGGTTGGCTGGGCAAGAATACAATACCCACGTGACAGTGAAAGATCTAGACTGATATGAAACGTTGATAATGAGTTATATAATTGTTATTCTAATTTCCACACACGTTTCATCGACGTTATTTGCATATTTAAATTACTTCCGACTATGATCTATACACTAATTATATATAATTGATCCGGATGCACTCGAAACGTTAATAAGTACCTAAACCCTCTCTGGCTTTCGGATTATTTTTCAGAGTTGAATAAATGAAAGAGTCAAGTTTGCTCGGCACGTTGAAACATAATTTGATTTTAAAACAAAACTACAGCTTAATAAATGTCGACTCCAAAAGAAATTAGACTTATGACTGAATTTCCTGCTTCTCGAAACTACTTCTTGTTGGGTTTTTTAATGCATTTCCCCGCTGTGCTCGACGAGCTTCGAATTGCCTTCAACCAATCATAGAATTGATCATTGGACTTATCATATAAAGGTACCAACAGACAGGGGCGAAACTACCGGAGGGGGATTGACACCCCTCCAGTTTTTAGCTACACTTCATATTTTAGAGCAAATCTATACAATTTCGTTGGGCAATTGTTGGAAATAACCGGATCAAATATTACACATTGTGGTTAACGAATGATGTTTAAGGTTTTGTTAATAAGAACCAGAAGTCTCCCCGGCCACAGACATTTGGGAACGATGGAATTGAGCCACGTCCTTATATTGTCTGGCAAAAGAAACACCCCTCCAGTTGTAATACCGAAATTTCGCTCCTAACTAGTGACAGACAAAGACTCTCCTACCACCGAAAAATATTGAGACTTTGGGAGTCACCTGCCCTTTCCCCCTATTTCAATGATGAAAGGCTATTATATCTTTCCACTAAGTCAAGGAATATAACGTACGCTAGAACCGCAACTGTACTGTCTCAGCCAGCACTAGTAGTAGTAAGACATTCAGTTGGTATCACCTACGGACATATAGTAATTACAGTAATGAGAAGAGGAAAGCTGGTATTGATTCTCGAACCAGGAGAACATTCTGGAAACCTTTCAGGAATTTATTATACATGTATATCAACGCTAATTAGTGATCCCGAAATTATTAATTGAGGTTTGAGAGAAATGTATTTTATTCAGCCTTGCGCAATTCTTAGAATCAGGTCTGTCTGTCCAAGTCGAGGCTGTAGGTAGACTTGCTCCAAGTCTCTCTTTCATTGTCATATCGATCCACTATAGTGTACATTACATGTTGACTCGGTTCCAGACATTCTACACATGCCACATGATAATATTTCAGGGCCCGCGGAGCGTATTAGAGAGTGGGGGGGGGGGGGGGGG